ACTGACTAACGCACAAGTGCACCAGCACTTCCACGCATTCAAGCCAATGGAGATCTGGCGAGGAATGAGGCAGACAACTCTTTTTATACTGCTGACCACTCCTCGCTAGGTCTGCATTGGCTCAATTCAGCCTCTCCCTTTGTCCCAGACCCTGCATTGCATGTGTCCCAGTATAGTCCCAATGAGGTTCAACTGTTGCTGAGGCACTTCGACCTGGATTTGGACTTGAAAGTCTGGATCTGGACTGACCCCTTGACTTAGACCAGAACTGGGACTGTGCCTACCGACTTCACTTTCGGACAGGCACAACTCTAAACGAACAAACACATTTACTACTTAAACAGGCACTTTCCATTGCACGAACAGGTACACTGCCTGCACGTACAGACACACCCGTACCCGAACAGACATGACATACACATCTCCTGGTGAACAGGTAAGTCTTTTGACAATGCCCTTTGCCTTAGATTTAGATGTGCCTGTTGATAGAGAACTTGACCTTTGACCTGTTTTCACGTTTCCAAGCCCTGGCAAGATACCTTTCACAATGCTTTACTTTTACAAGGCCCGTGCTGCTTTATTTTTACAAGGCCTGAGGCCTATATCGGGTAAAGGCCCTTTTACTYTCGCCGGCCTAGTTTCGAAGTCCTTTGAGAATCATTTATCTATCAATAATATGAATTCCTCTCTTTGCACTTTCGTATGCAGACAAAATATGAGGTGCAAAATCTAACAATTTCTCTCGTATAAACCAGCGATCTTCACTAGGATCTTGATATGCAAACCTTACTTTATACTGTCGCTGTGGTCTGCCTCTACGTCCAGTGTGGTAAGTAATTTCCGCAACAATTTTATCCACGTCATACTTTTCATCCATACTTGGAGGTATCGTTGATCGGCGACTTGGGAAGAGCTCATTCGTTACACAAGGTATGAGCTTTGACGCATGAAACACTGGATATGTACGTAGATGAGGAGGAATCTCAATGACATACGAAGGACCATCCACATCTCCAATTACGTCTAAAACCTGCCAAGGTCCTTTGTAGGCGGGTAAAAGCTTCTGAGAGATGTTTTCTTCAGGAGCAAACTCTTTAGACTTCACCCAAACCAAATCTCCAACTGCAAATTGAGACGGGCGTCTGTGTTTATTTGCTTGTTCAATCATTTGATGTTGTGCTTTAAGTATATTTTCTTTTACTTTCTCAATGTCTTTCTGATATTGGACTGCAAATTCACTAGTCCCCACAGGAAGCTTATGCACTTGATCCGGGTTCAATCGATCAATGGGTCGGCGTGGACGCCATCCCAGATGTAACTCCATAGGAGTCTTACACGTAGATAGGTGCACAGAGTTATTATAGGCACTAGCAACCTTAGGCAGATGTTCATCCCAGTCAATCTGATYRGGACGAATGTACATGCGCAGAGTTTGCTGCAATATCTTGTTCATCTGCTCAGTCTGGCCATTAGTCTCAGAATGTCTGCCTGATGACATAGTCAACTTAGAGCCATAAACATTCATCAGTTGCTGCCATTGTTCACTTGTGAACCTGGTATCTCTGTCACTCACAATAGTTAAGGGATGTCCAAAGTCTTTCGACCAATGATTAGTGAATCACTAAGGCAATTGTTCACTTCTCGAATCACTAAATCAGTCTTCGCTTCCGAAGGCAAAGCTACAAAAACAACATACTTAGTGAATCTATCCACTATGACCATTACTTGCGTCTTCCCATTTCTGCTTTTTACCTTAGTGTCCATGAAATCTATAGAGACAGAGTCTCCAGGGCCGGTAGGGATAGGCAAGGGCTTAAGTAGCCCGAGGGGCGATTGCGTGGTGCTTTTGTTTCGTTGGCACACTTGGCAGCCTTGCACATACGCGATACAGTCTGCTTTCATTCGAGG